ATGAATTATTCTCGTGTTTGTGGTGATGCTGGTGTGAACAAACCGACTACCCTGCCAGCAGTAGGAAAGTATAGCACATATAATTACAGTAGTAGGCTATACCATCTAGGTTTGTGTTACTACACGCTATGATGCTCGCACAGGGACGAAATTGCATAACGGGGCATTTCTCAGAATCTACCCATTGTTAAGTGGCATATGACTGTGTACTCAAGGCATTAAACAAAAAGTAACATGTACAACAGGGTCCACAGTGAAGGTTTCCTGTCCTCCTTCATCAGACACAATTCCCCAGAGGAAACCAGGAATAAGCAATTTCTCCTGAATCCTTTGTCTCATTCTAGCACATGTACATGCCCTATTTTACAAAGTGTATCTACTCTCCTTCTTAAAAAAAAATAATAATAAAGATACCATGTTACATAAACTATGCTGTACCTCGATTCTCCCTCTTACCAGTATGTCTTAGAAATTGAAAAGAATCAGGATTTGAGTCAGGATGGTACTCCAGAATCCATGCTCTTAACCACTATGTGGAATTATTAAAATCTAAAGAAATTTAATCTCTGATTCTATGCAATTTATCACATCAAAGGAGACTTCAAATATTAATGATAGCTTTCCTTCTCCAGATATTCACATGAAAAACCTTTCTTTTATTTAGATACTTCTATTCAGTTAATTTAAGTCCTCGAGTGTTACATGTCATCCAACTTTTGTTTGGAAGCGCTGAACATGCTGCTTGCTGGCCAGCAGTCTTAGAACTACATTCTAGTGTATGTATAGTCTCATGTAAACAAAAAGATCGAATCTTTCAGAATTAGAGGTATGTGGTGCAAGGTAAAACTGATGAACTACCAAAGGAACCACACCCTGTGAAGGTGACATGGAGTTAAATGGGGGAAATCAAATGTCACCGCTGTGCTGCTGGTTAGAGGTAAAGATCTTATGAAAACAGGTCCAAATGCACGTGACTACCAATTGTGACATTTATATTGCACACTAAAAACAGGTTATATTTAGAACATTACAGGATACCTTCTTCAGAAGGTGATGGAGAACATTCCACGCACCGTACAAAACTGTAATATAAGGCTCTAATTATGTGTAACATACCTCCAAGTAACTCTAAATTGATGACCAGTCCTCTTCTTAGATTTCTCATTATTTTTCTCTATGGCCTCTTCCTGAAATAAACCATCATCAACAGAAATAAAAGATGACAATGCAACGCGTTCTCCTAGTTAGACTACTCAATATCAGGAAGGCGTAGGAAACTTCAGAAAAACAAAGGAAATACAGATCCAGCAGAAAGCAAAGAGGAAACCTTGTAATTTCTTAAGTGTAAATCACTTCATTTACAGATGAAAAGTAAGGTTGGCCCTTAAAGGAACTGGCAGCCTGGAGATGACGTGAATGCCCAAAATGGAGCCTAGACAGAGAAACTGGATTCAAACACAGGCTGTTTCCTCAGAGGCTACATCCGTATGGCTTGATCCATACAGAAATATTGTTCGGCATTAGGGTGGAAGCAA